ATATTTAGGGGTTGAAATGGACCAAAAACTGAAAAAATGTCGGATTTTGCAGTAGCTGTACAGGTCGCAATTATAGACCAATCGACTCGGAATTGGGGAAGAAGCCTACCAATTTGGGTGGTCATCGGATAATATTTAGCGGGTAAAATAGACCATATCTTTTTTGTTGAAAAAATTTAAAATTTTTCATTAAACCGCGAATATTTTAAATCCCGGCGAAATCACAAAGCCATGAAAAGGTTACTTCTGATCTTTACATTGATGTTAACATCCATCAAATCGGATATATAGCAAAATATGTCTATCAAAGAAGATATGCTTGAAAGATCTCATATATGTCGAGAACGGCTGAACTGATTTCGACAGTTCTCATTAATTCTAAATGGCATCTTGGCAGGAAAGAAAAAACGTCTAAAAAATTGCATAAAAATATCTCTCTAAAGATGAAAATATTGATTTTGTAATATTTTCTCATATTTGCTTATTTTTGGCATATTTTCATTTTGAATTAAACATTTGGTAATATTTCTACAGCTAACAAAACTAAGTAGTTAGGATATCAGGATATCATATACAGATCGCATTTATGACCCGATCCTTACGAAATTTTGCATGGGGATAAGATGAGCCTACTCGTTTTGGAGATGATCGCCATATATTTAGGTGTTGAGATGGACCAAAAAACGGAAAAATTGTCAGCTGGTCGTAATTATCGCCCAATCCTCACGCACATTTGATTAGGGGTTACCGGACATTGCAAAAGCCAAGCAGTTTTGGATGGCCATCCAAAAATATTCAATGTGTGAAGGAGTTTGCCAACTTTTTTAGACAAAATACGAAAATGTCCATTCCAGTGGCTTTTTGGAGAATTCACAAATACAGGAAAGACGCACTTCTGACTATTTCGTTAACGTCGATTTCGTTGAAGAATATAGTCAAATGTCTGTATCTCATATAGATGCGTTTCAGTCAAAAACCAATAATAAATGTTAATGTTTTGCCACTTCTGAGAGATTATAGGTCTTTGGGAAATATTGGTTCCAGATCTAAGAAAACCATTTAAGTGCAACATCTACCAATAAATTGGAAATGAGCAAATTAGTTTAAGTAGCTATTATTCGAAAATTAGAGAAAGAAACCTGTTGGTTTTCTTTTATTATTTGTCACATTATGGAATTCTTTCGAGTATCTCGCCTATATAAACTGTATCGTTTATTATAGTTTTGTAGGGTATTCAACGGTCGGCCCCGCTCGACCTTTGCTTACTTTTTTATTTTGTAATTATGTTGGAGTCCAATTGAAGGATATCAAATTTATTGCAATGATCGGAAAACATTTTCAGAAACCGAAAACTAATCTATGGTTATGGAATATATATATATATATATATATATATATATATATATATATATATATATATATATATATATATATATATATATATATATATATATATATATCATCCCAGTTGTTCAAAAAAGTCAAAATTTAAATATTTCAAAAAAATCTCTCCTATTTTAACTTTTCAGAATATAATGCGTATTTTAATGATTTCCCTCAATTTAATTGGTGTTAGTCGCAATTTTCCACAATTCACCAAAATATTCATCGAAAATTTTCCTATTTAAATAGTTGCTGCACCAAATTGCTGTGGTTTAACTTTGCACTTAATTTTGTTTTACTTGTGCGTTTATCTGTGTCCTTGATCAATTTGTCAAATTTAACCAGGATTTCTTGTTTCAATAAACTTATTTTCTTTGCAAAGTGGTTGACAACCACATTTCTGTGTGGTTGGCATTTTTGCTTTCGCTTCGAAACCCCAAATTATTTGCATGCAGTGAAGCATTTAATGAATAATGATGTGTAGTTAGTTAACTAAAAGGAAAATGTCTCCGAGGATGTCGCTTTCGTAGTCATGTGGATTGTAACAAAAACTTATGAAAGAAAATAATGGTGAAGAAGAGATTTAATTGTCACACCATCATCATCATGAAACAATGAGAAGAACAAATTAGTGTCAATGATGTGCCATAATTTTTACATTTTTTATACCCTACACCACAAGGTGGTCAGGGTATTATGTTTTTACGCATTTGTTTGTAACAGGCAAAAGGAAACGAGATAGACCCATAGTTCCTTTTGATGATCTGCATAGAATCACTTTCTGAGTTGATTTATGCATGTCAGTCCGTCTGTCCATATATTCTTGTGAACAAAACGCAGGTCGCATTTATTATCCGATTGAGATGAAATTGGAGATAATCGGTAAAAATTTAGATATAGCTCCCATATATATCTTCGTCCGATTTGCCTTTTATTGTGCACCAAACGTGTAATTTCAGCCCGAATAGTATGGAATTTTGCACATACAACCAACTTAGGCCTGAAAATAAGTATGCTAAATTTGATCGAAATCGGTTCAGATATAGCTATGGCTCCCATATATATTGTTCATCCGATTTGTTATTTTTGTCCTCCGCAGCCGTAATATGCACTCAGTAACAACAATATTTGGGGAAATATATCAAATACAGCTCAGAAATACATTTGCTAAATTTTATCGAGATCGGTTCAGAATTGGATATAGCTCCCATATATAACTTCGTCCGATTTACCTTTTATTGTGCACCAAACGTCTAATATTTGCCCGAATGGGATGGAATTTGCCACATAAGACCGAACTGAGTCTAGAAGGTAGTATGCCAAATTTGGTGAAGATCGGTTCAGATATAGCTATAGCTCCCATATATATTGTTCATCCGATTTGTTGTATTTGTTACCCACAGCCGTAATATGCACTGCGTAACAACGATATTCAGGGAAATATATCAAATACAGCTCAGAAATATCTTTGCCAAATTTTATCGAGATCGGTTAAGATTTGGATATAGCTCCCATATATATCTTTATCTTTATTAGTTTTGCAAATGGGCAATATAAGTCCGAATTTAAAAGATACAAATGCTTCGGCATATTTCGTCCTTTGAATTTTAAATTATAATTATAATCAAAGAGTGTATGATTGAATTCTCCCATAAAAACTTTAAATTATTAAGTGGAGCTCAACTAAATTAGCAAAGCAAAATCGGCCCCGCCCGACTTTAGGACTTTCTTTACTGTTTTTTTATTTATATTGAATGAAAGCAAAAAATGTCGGAAATATCATCAAATTTGAGAATAATAATGGCCTTCAACGGATTGGTATTCGAAGATTTTGGTGGTCATTGTGTGCTGGAAATGAAGCAATTCTTGGTTGGCGCGTGCTAAGTGCGTTAGTGATGAGTCCTGTTGGAATGTCCAAGGTCTGCGGCCAAAATGTTTGCGTGTCCAAGGCTTTAATTCACCCTCCAGAATATTATTCTGCGGTAAATTTATTCTGATGTCACAGTCGATAAGTAGGAGCGGCCATCGGCTGTTATGGCGGCCCACACCATCACTATGGCCGGCGCTTGAGTTCTGGTGACCAACCGAAGGTGCACATTTTTAGCTGACCACTTTGGCAAGTAAACACGATAATTTTGATTGTTTACAAACTGCTGGACAACAAATGTTTTCTCATGGGAGAAAACTAAATTCGGCAGTTCACCACTTTCGGCCAAGCGAAGCAACTCTTTAGCTCTTTTGAGTCTATTTTCTTTCTGTTGCGGTGTAAGTTCTTGCACTTTTAGGAATTTCAAGGGGTTTACCTCGAGCTCATTTTTTAAAATTTTATGAATGGAACATTGCGATATGTTCAGCTCACAAGCCGTTTTTCGGCCACTGCGACGCTGGTTTCGATCAAATCACTTCTTTACTTTTCCAACCATTTCTGCTGATGTTGCTGTTTTCTTCCGTCCACTTCCTTAACGTCGGGCTGCGCTATCAGTATCCCGGTAATGGGCTATGGTACCAGACACTAAAGATTTATTCATATTTTAGGGCTGGAGTGCTCTAACGATAGCCACTTGTGGTTTTCCAGCCAAATATAAAGAAATCACACTATCACGCTTAAATTCCATCACGAATAAATTTTTTTTCTCGAAATTTCTCACTAAAATGCTTTTGTACGCTTGTAAACAATATAATGAGCTGTCACTGGAATAACTTTAATAGCTGTTGGATGAGTGGTTTCAAATGAAAACAGTCTTAAAAAAATATGTAAAACCTCTGCAAAATATGAAAAATATATTCCAAAACAATCCAAGACCCCTAAAAATATTTTTATTTTATGAAAATGTAAAAAAGTTAGTTGTGTTTTTTTTTTTTTTTTTTTTGTTTAATTATTATATTTTTCATCGATTTTTTAAAAATCCTCAGTTGTAGGGATTCTGAAAACCTGCTGTTGTAAAGAAAATTCTACAATTGAAAAAATAATATTCTTGAAGAAATATTTGATATAAAATTCCTTATTGAGGTCGTGGAAAATATTTTTAGACCCTTAAAAAATATTCTTAAAAATATTTACATTTGAAAAATATCCCTTCGGATATCCTTAAAGATCATAAGCATTATTTTCCTAAAAATACCCACAATTGTAATACCCCTGAAGAATATCGTAAGAATAACAATTTAAATCCTATGAAAAAAATATCCATAATTCATCCAGAAGAATTAGCTGAAAATACGAGATTGTAAGACTCTAAACTAGATTTATTTTTCTTAAACAAATATATGGTTTTCGAGTCTTTAAGAATTATTTGTAAAAATCCTTGATTGTCCTTGAAAGGTATTCGTAAACAATCAACAATTCTAAAACTCTTGAAAATATAAAAAAAGTCAGAATTGAAGAAATATTTTTGAATGACACCTCAACAAGCTGTATAGCCTTAAAGAAGACCTTCTTAAAATCTACGATCATGTCCTTGATTATTTGGTAGATTTTTCTAAAAATTAAGAAGCAAAGTCAATAATTTCCCGAGCCCCAGTTAAAATTAAACAAAATGCCAATCAACATTTCATTTTCTCATCCTTAAGAGGCAAAAACCTCCCAAATGGATATCAATTAATTTATATAATTACAGTGCTCTGAAAATTCTCCATAAACGGAAAAGCGTAAACAAAGCCAAAAATAAAACCCAAGGCAACATCCGGGAAACAAATACAGGATATAATGAGGCCAACATAGAGAAACAAACATTAATTAAAGGAAACGAAAAAAAACGAAATGTGGAAATTAATTTGTCTATAAAAGAAACAAGCAATTAATCTACAATAACAACAACAAAAAAGAAACACACAGAAATAGGCAAAAAAGTGAAAATTAATACAAAAAAAAAACCGCATACCTTTTCACCCTTACAATCTTCGCTCCCAAGGGGAAAAGTTATTTTCTTCGCTACGTGGTATCTTTTCGTCTATGAAAAATTAACAAAAACAAACACAACACGCTCTTTGTGCTGCTTCAACGTTTTCCGAATCATTAAGACATTGTCAGTAGTCGTCTTTTACCCCCGACGGAAACTAAAGACCACCAGCCACAAAATTCGAGACTGAGCCGACAAAGCGTCTATTATTTTGATTTTCTCGTCCAATCGTTGTATGAGTAATAGCGCCATGGTTGCCGTCGCCATTTGTTGTATTCTGGTCCTGTTGGCCGTTTTCATTGTTATCATCATAGTGGTCGGCCAGACAATGGGAGAGCCTAAGTGAGATAAGCTTCAACTGGGACCTGGTAATTTCCCAGATGGATAACAAATGCCTACCAATTGTTAGTACATCTCGTTAAATACCATCATACATCAATCATCAATCAAAACAATAATAACAACAACAACAACAAAAAACAAACGTTATAAAATTCGAAAATCCCTAGACAATTGGACAACAAATATTATTAGTAACAAAAAGAAGAAGAAAAGGACATTTATTTAGTGGACGAAAAAAAATCAAAGTGACAACAAGAAACCCCCAAAAAACCAAGAAAACAAAGACAAATTCTTAACCCATCGTGTCAGTATCAAAATTGGCTGTGATGTGTAATTTTTTATTTTAATTCAAAGAAAATAATAACAACAACAATAATCAACAAAAACTACAACCACAACAACAATTTATATACATCAAAAACCTTTAGACTTCATAACTCGTTTGTGTGTCATGTGTGGTGTGCAGTAACAAAGAAATAATTTTTCAATTTGGTGTTGAATTTAAAACTTTTACACAAACCAAAACAAAAAAAAAAACATAATTAAATAATATATAATATATATATATATTATATTAATGTTTTATATATAATAAATATATGTGTTTAGTTAATTAAGTGTTTTTATGAAATTATACATAAATATCTACCTTGAAAACCAAATATATAATAAACTTCCAATATTACAAACCTATTAATCTCCCCTATTCAAAGACCTCTATTAAATGTTCAAATAATCGATTAATGGAAACCCATCATATCTACAAAACCTAAACTACCTTGTGTGAAAAGCCAAAAGCAAAAAACAATGTTCTTCAACATAATTTAATCCTTTATTTAAACTCTTTAAAACCAAAATTTAAAACAAAAATGTTGCAAAATCAACCACAAACAATTCTAAAATATATATTTAACTCGAACTTACAAGAAAATGTTACATTTCAAGAAACATCAAATGTATATCCGTAATGTTGCGGCAACAATGTTGCAGAAACATAATCAACCATAAATGCCGAAATCAGCAAAAATCATCCACATAAAACATCCACAAAATTGCAAAAATGTTAATCACAAGTAAAAGAAGATTTCATAGTTCCCCATCGGGGGAGAAAAGAGGAAGAAAGAGAAAAAAATGTCACAAAGTTGCGGCAACAATGTTTCAGAAACATAATTAACGATACAGGCCGAAATCATTCACACATAACTCTCACAAAATAGTACATATTTTTTAATGCGGAGGAGAAATAAAGAAAAAAGTTCCGAAAGTGTACATAAATATTGATGTCACAACAATGTTGCAGAAACACAGTCATCCTCAATGAAGAAAAATAGCATCCATATAAAAAATCAACAGAATTGAAAAAATTGTAATCATAAATAAAAGGACAGAATTTAATTCCCGATCGAAGAAGAGAGAAAGTCCGTGAGGAAGTATCAATAGCAACAATATTAAATGTCCCATCTCAGAAGAAACATCACCCAGTATTGGAAAAAATCTTTACACGTTTAAACTGTTCCATAAAAAAAAATTGCTAATAAATTCGGCATGCTTCCGGATACATATACTGAAAACTATCAAGAACACATTAAAGAAGTAAGCAAAAACATGAACAAATCAAACTTCAACAAAGCTATACGAACATTCTGGAGCAACATATCTTGCAGACTCAAAAAGAGTTTTCGGCTACACGAATACCACAGAAATTTTTTTTCAAAATGTTGTGATTCCAAAATGAAGAAAAAAGGTTTGAAGCAATACAATTCAAACCCAATCCAGGAGCCCAACTTCTTTTTGGTCGGGTTATCAAGTGTATGTTTAAGATAGAGCGGCGTTGAGGTCTATTTCAGCAGCTTTTGTTCCACAAGCTACAACATTCTACCAATATTTATGAAACAGCAACATGTTCCTCAACATTCCCCATCCAATAAATTTATGCTTATTGTCTTGTGTAAGGAATTACATTTTCGGAATTAGTTTCAATAAAACATAGTCTAATAGAGATCTGCGCAAAAGCAGGTCAAGGCGTTGCAGAAAAATAAGAAATATGTTGCAAAAACATTTGATGCAGAATCGAGAGAAAGAAACGTACAAAGCAATAGCAATATTTAATCCGTATTATTTTCTGAAGAAACCACATAAAATAAATCGAAAAATAAAACCACTTAAACGCAATTGAAGATTGGCATGTTGCAGCAACATCTGTTGCAAATTCTAGAAATTGGCAAGTTTCGAAAACGTCATGTTGAAATGACTAGAGTGGCTCGTATCCAAACCGCATTAAAACTTTTAAGAATTATATTCAGTAAAAGACACTGAAATGCATCCGCAACTTCAAAATTCAGAGAACTTCTATCGAGACTATCAAAAAACAATACCGCGCCAAAAAATCCTTGGGAAAAGAAGAGAGAAACAGAGGAGTAACAAAAATCGAAATTATTGATATGCTGATAAACATGCCTTAAAAATTAAATCAGTCAAACCACCTATTCAATACGGACTCTGATACATGTTGATGTAACTGCCGAATCAATTATTTGTCTGTTACCTGTCTAAATCAAAAGCAGCCCCGTAATCATTAAACAACATAAAACAGTTGCAGAAATGTTGCAGCAACAATGATGCCGAAACAAAACTCTAAAGTCACATAATTTCTATTAAATCAATAAAAAATTCCAAAAACTTAATACGAAGGCTCGAAAAAAATAAACGTGTCAGTAGCAAATGTTGCCGATACATGGGCTGGAAAACATGTTTTACAACTGAAATCAATTACATCGCTTACTAAATAAAATGTCTTTGAATAGTGACGATCCGGAATACTGGCTTTTGTTTTGAAGAAAACACACAGTAAATTATTGCAGTAAGATTGCAACCCAATGACATCAAGAATAAATATTGCTTCTTTCAAACGCGCAGAAATTGCAGAAAAAAATATGAAACTCTCTTTGATCTGCAAAATATCTGGAACGAATCAAATTTGTCCTGAAACTCTTCATACGAAACGTTAATTCTTCAAATTACTTCACGTATGCAAATTCTCAAGGAAGGTGGTGATTATCAACTTGTGAAATACACACGTCCTTTGACCCTTTCTTGATAGTGAAACAATTGCCGAATAATTTGAAAACATGTTTTAAAGCTGAAATCAATGCAGCTGTAGTTTGAGAATTCAGAATTTTTTTTGCAACATTGCGATCCAGAATACTGGCTTTCCTTGAAGGTCAAATTAAAATGTTGCAGCAACATTTTTGCCCAAATGCCATAAAAGTTACAAATCTGAAATGTTTTGCTAAATATCCTCTTGAACGTTCAAAAATGAGAGTGGAGCAGACTATTCTTCCAGAGAACATTAGCGGAAATGCCATAGAATGACGAAAAAAAACACCATGATAAATGTCAAACTCTAGGAACCTCCAAATAAACGGTACGCATCAAAATTGTCGTGAAACCCTTTAGATGAAAATACATGACATATCTACCTCCTGAATATAAATCCTTCGAAAAATATGACAATATATCGTGTTACATCAAACTATCCTCTCACAAAACGTTTAATCTTCAAACAAATTATATAATACTCGCTTTCTTTGAAGTATGTACAAAGTAAAAAATTGCGGCAACATTGTTACCCAGATACTATTAAAATTAAAAATCTGAATATTGTATTGCTAACCAGGCGGCCGATAATGGAAAGGAGGTGAACATTCGAATCAGATAAACATCAAAGTTGTGCTGATACTCTTGAGAGTAAAAACGATAATATTATTTTTTCAAAATAAATCCGTCGGAAAATGCGATGACATAAGGATGGAGGCATTAAAAATATGGACAAATATCATGCTATACAATTACTGGCACCAACCCAGCAATGACCCGTCCGTCTTGCCAATATGGGATTTTATGGAGAAAAAATGTTATAAATTTTAGTCAAGACAATATCGACTCTTACTTTGGTGTACGTGGACAAATATAAATAAATATTCCCCCGAGGTTTTTTTTTTCCAAAAAATTATATATTCTACAAAAGCAATTTACATCAGCTTCAAAAACTATATGGATCCTGGCAACAACCAACCCATTAATGAATTATCCTAAGGACCTTCAAAAATGTGTGTATTTGGAATTATAAAAAAAAAATTTTGATCAGACCAAACTATTGCCGACTTCAGCGAATTTTTTTAACTCCAAAAGCTTTTTGTGTGGCATTAATCCCCAATCTACAAATATTTCAATGCCCGAAGAAACTGGAAAATTATTCCATTAACTTAACGAAATTTTGATTTTTAAAATGTAATTTCCCTAAAATTAAAACCTCTCATGCTGCTTCAAACTTGCATTACCACATTATCGACATCGTAGATTTACATTTCCCACCATCATTGAAATCAAAATCAACTGCGAAAAAGTGTTGTTCCCGGCGTATTCATCTAAATCTGCGAACCGCGGCTTCAATCTCATTTAAGCTCTCAACATGTCAGAAAAAAAAATAATATAGTTTTGTTGTTGTTGTTCTGTGAGTACCAAGCTCAGACATGCAATAACAAGAAGTATATTTTATTTACGCTGGACTGGTCTAAGGACACTATATGACGCTCACATAGCCAATGGCCATCAACCAATACAAAGTGGTAGAGGAAATGATGTCAAATAGGAAATCGGATCAACATTAACCTCCCAAATCATACACCGTCAAATTTAAAACTGAATAAAGAAATAACAAAAAAAAACATTCTACCAAGACTGTGAAATAAAATCTAAAAAAACATTAAAAACATCATAAAAAAATTACCACATCTTGAAAACCCATATCAGTCAATATGGAAAGCAGACAAAGAGTCAACAACATCTAGAGCAATATAAATAAATAAAAAATCATTATGGACAACATACAACAGACACTTGTTAAAAAAAGCAAAAGAAAATAAAAACAAAAAGAAATATTTAAAATAATATAATAATTTTTTTACAAAATACAACTTTTATATGATTTATGTGTGAAAAAAGAAACAGAAACCAAAGCAAACAACAAACAAAAAAGAAACCCCAATTTAACCTTTAATATACAGTTATTATGAAAATCCCTATTTGACCTAAACCAAAAAAAAAAAAGTTATTGTGAAAATACTCTCCCGGTTATGTTGTTAACTTTTAAAAACATGTTTACATATATATATATATACATATAAACACATATTTACACTGAAAATCTATATTAAAAAGAGAAAAAAACTCTCCCTAACCATAAATATATCTATGTGTGTGTTAACAATTGACCCTTTTGTGAAAACTTTAAGCCCCTGTATTTAACTGAAAATTGAACAATCCAAACCAAAAAACAATAATACTCAAATCTGGCAATTAAAAAAAATGGATAAACCAAAGAAAAAATCATATACAAATTTCAATGAGTCTATATATACACACATATACTACATGGATTTGTTTGTAAACATATTTATTTATAAACTAATTAAGTGTAATTAAAATAAAAATATAAACAAAAAAAGAGATGTTA